GGGAAATTATGCAGCGATGTAAATTTGGCAAAAACTGCTGAGCCAATTTCTGCACCATAGTCTTCCCTCAAGGGCAAAAATGTCTGAAACCCCGTGTAAGTTTTTCACAGCATCATGCTTGGAGAGCCCATATCTCCTTATAAACTAACCCATAGAGTCAACTGAACACCCAACATTAAAGAAGTTTTACGGAGAAGCCTTCATTATTTTGCAAGGAAAGAGCCATAAGACTGGGATTTCTTTCATTGGTTAGGAACTCGATAAATTCATTAATGGCATCTAGGGAAAGTTTGTCCATGAAAATGGCAGGTCTTCTGCAAGATTATGTTTACTGGGGCCAACAGCAATCAGTCCGATGTGGCAAATCACGACAGAGAAACAAGAAAGACTAAGGGCCCAGGTATTCCTCGTTTTCTTCAACAAATTAGATAACAGAGTTAGCTTCCCTGGGCCCATGAGGATGGTGATTGAGGCCATCGGTAGGGGCCTTTATAAGTGGTTCAGGTGAAATACCTTCAGCAACGTAAATATGCAATGACACAGACCTGGCAAGACAGCTCTGTATGTTTAACAGTCCAACATAGATACGGTTACAATATACAAACAAGAAAACAGAAGAGCAGAAACAGTTGCGGGTATATTACATAATGTAGGTGATTAAATGTATGAGCTAAAATTCAGACTAACAAGACTTCACATATTTTCTTATACAATTGTTAAGTCCTAACTAAAAAAAAAAAAGACCATGCCTTTTTATGTAATGATGTTTACTTTGAATTTATATTAGTTCACACAAACACTCCATCCATGCGTTTGTTCGGGCCCTCCAGTCCAGTTTAAGAACCCATTGTGGCCCTCGAGTCAAAAAGTTTGCCCACCCCTGGTTTAGACCATAGGTTCAAGCTTACAATTATAGCTGTTGGGTATATTTGTGCTGGGAAGGCTCTGCCCTCCAGCTAGGACTTGCACGTGGCCATGAGAGGACTGTGGCCTCTCATTAGTCCGAGGCTTGAACCTGTCCAAAACCCTGTAGCTGAGCCCCATTCATCCCCCTTTACTTTAGTTTTTAAACACGCCTATTTACATTATCCAAAAAAGCCCCGTTCATCCCCCTTTACTTTTGTTTTTAAACACGCCTATTTCCATTATCCAAAAAACTCTAAATTATTCAGCATAAGCAAAACATCAAAACAAACTTCTGGGTGTTAACAAAACTACAGACACAGCAATCTTAACAAAAGAACAAAACTCTGGCTAATAACAAAGCAATACCAATGCAAAACCAAACTACAAACATGTTAACGTTTTCAGGATATCTTACTTAGAGTCTTTAGATTTAGCTCTGCAGGATTTTACAGAAAACTGGCAGTTTACCAACGCTAGCATAGCTTTCACTTGC